TTTTAAAATGGTTGATAAACAAATTATTTTTAATTGATTTTATGAAAGTTTCCCTAATAATTTAACCGACGCAACGCAGAGATATACTTCGACTATTAATCCTATTATATTGGATTTAATTTAAATATTTTAGTTTTCAATAATTCGTTCTTCGTTATCTAATACTACGGAATGCGCAGCCCTGCGGAGAATACGAAGATATAGTAGAACCTGTTGTAGCAACTTTTGGAGCCGGTCGTTAGTCCCTTTTCCGTTGGCTCAGCCGTCGACCGAGCAGCTATTCTCATTTGAAATTAACAACTACAATTATATTATTAACATATTTTACCTTAACGAAAATTTTTATATTTTATTAATGTTGCATTCGTGTTTATTGGTTAACAGATTATGGTGCAAAAAAGTAGATAAATATAAGCTTTAGCAAAAATATAGTTCATTCGGCTAGAAATCCGATAGTAGTCCTGGTAAGATCGGATTATAGGTCCTCGGGATAAGGATCGAGGACCGTAAAAGACCGGTCATATTAACCAGTCGGATCCATCCCTATAAATTTATATCGTTGCGAAATCACTGCGGCTAAATAAAAATATTCTACGAGGACAATTCGTCAGTGGGTAGATCGCTAACCACTTTAAGAAAACAATACATTAATAAAAAAAAGTAATATAATGGCTTTTGAAAAATTATCGACTTGAATTTTACATTTGTAAATTATAAAATTATTGTACAATATACATCTTGTATCTTCATAAATTTAATCAAAAAGGTTATAACATTTAATAGTTTTATTTAAATGATGTTTTATGGTCGGCTAGTGATTTTAGATTTGTGAATTACATGTGATGCGGAATATTTATTTATTTTTAGAAGAAAAAAGTGATATTTTTATTAATTGAAAATTATAAAGAGAATTTAATGGTAATTAAAAGTAGGAGTCTATGACAATTACTTGAATTTACTTGAATCGTGATTAGTTAAAAAATTTTCGAAAGCTAAAATAATGATCATGATCGTACCGTACTGATCAGCCGTACCGGTTTTCCCCTATACTCTATATTTGAAACTTCGATGGCCGATCATCTGTTTAAATTAACTTAGATACAGTAGGTCACAAGAATATAGTTGCTCCCTAAAGGATACAACCTTCGTGGTGGACAGATTGGATTATAACTTTACAACGATCGAACTATATTTTTTGTAATTAATTTTCCAGCTAATTCGTAGAATACGGATTTACGCAATAATAAACAATACAGATAAAATATACAATACAAATGAAAATATAAAATAAACTAAAAATTCCGAAAGACAACATTTGCCGTAGTACCATGCAGATCGATGACACTTTCGAGGTTAACAACGTGAAAAAAAAATTTTGGTCTACAAATATTAGCAACAATTTGGCTCAAATTCACAACTAGTAAACGTTGAACAAACGGGAAAATTTTGGAAACTAGACTTACAATTAAAAAGTCATGTAATAATTTATTATTTTATATAGATTAATTGAACAGGAATAATAATATTTAGAGAAAGAGTTCGACTTTTTGTCAAAGGTAAAATCTAAAGAAAGTCATATTGTCGCTTAAAGTTAATATCTTTTTCCGACTCAGCAACTTAAATTATTCCTCAAACTTATTTCTAGTTAAATTAATCTTATGACATTAAATTATGCAAGTATTCATTTTATCAATAGATTGATTTATTTTATTATGCAAGACGAAAAGTAAATAAACGTTAAAATAAAGCTATTTTGTATCAAACAAAGTGTTTGTGTATTAATCATTTTAAATATACAGGGCTGACATACGTTAAGAAATGTGGTAAATTTGGAAAGCTAGTAATCTGAGTATCATTGCAATTGAGACTTATTAAGGAGTTGGGTAAAGTTGATATGCTGTTTATTTCATCATAAATAATTAATTCAAGATTACTGATTTTATTTTCTAATTCATTAATAAAATCTTGCTTTTCTTTGAATACTTCTTCTCGTTCTCTTCATAATTATTAATAATTTCTTGCTTGGATTTGGTTTTTTCTTCTCGCTCTCTAACCTTTTCTTCTAAACATTTGAATTGTAAATGTAACACTTCATTACTTTGCTCTACCCCTTTAATTCTCGTTTCTATATTATTTATGGATTTTTTTAAATTGTTTTTTTAAAACCATTTTTTGTATTGTTATTTCAATGTATTCAATGTATTTTTGTTAGCTTTTTATTATTTATTTTCTTGCATAGAATACCTTCTGTAAATAGATTGATTAATTTATATGCTGAACAAATTGTAAAAAAAAATTTTTTTAAAACAATTAAAGTTCTGGATCAAACAAAAGTTATATCTAGGAATAAATTTTTGAAAAAATTTCAATTTGGTCCCTTTTTGCAGCACTCACCCCATATGTCATCATATTTTCATTAACAAATCTGCCTAAAAAATACACGTGATAAATTTTTTATGCACAATTTTTTTGTGCCGATATGAAACGCTTGTCACAAATGCCGTAAGTTTGTGTATTCTTCCTAACATGAGACGCTACATATTTGATTTTATCCGAACTTTTTGAATTCGTTGGATGTATGTATATCATACGTTGAATTTATAATCGCTGATACGAAAACTGCCCTGTCTGATTTCTTTCGGAGAGCGTTTTTCGAGCTTTTTCTTCACTAGTTGATAGTTCTTAATAGCAATAATTTATTAATAATGCAAAACAAACAAGTCCGAAATGTGGCAATTAATTATGACAACCCAATATTTAATGAGAATTCCGTATATTTAGCGTAGCAATTACAGTAAACTATATATATATAATGAGAAATAATATACTAAATAAGAAATGTAATATTATAACTTAGTCTCAAAGCGCCTAAACTACATCAATAACGTTTTTTCTTTTTTTCTTTTTTTTTCTTGTCTTTATTTGCAATGTGGAAGGAATTACGGATTTCTTCCGGTGATTCTGAAAGAAAAAAAAACTGTTATAAAAACTCAATGTAAAAAAAAATGAGAAAATTCACACATACCAATCTTAATTTCAACAACAGTCCCATCAAATTTCGCACCCATGCAACCCAGCTAATATCGGATTCCGCCACCTTGGAATAATCTCCATGTGGCCATAGCAAACCACTCATATCATCCCAATTAAATACACGACCGTAACAGTCCATAAAAAGAAATCCATATTGTAGCATTCCTATGATGATTATGTGATTAAAACCATATTGTTTAACTTTTTCTATATCATGCGCAATAGTTTCGATATCATCGTTGAAGATTTTAAAGCCAAGAGATGTTGCAAAATTGTGACTGTCAGATTCATTTTTGAACAGTTCGACTACCATGGTATTATTATTGCGACTCCCATATTGTGATTCATTGTTTTCATTATCGATTGACACTTTATGCATGGAGCAATCACCTTCTTTATCGACAATTTGATTGACCGGGAGAACAAAAGAACATGCTTTCTTCGTGTTGTCTGTCGTTCATGTAACATCCGCCAAGGAATCATTTCGGAGCAGTTGCCCCAATGATGCCTGCATTCGTATGACTGTATCTTGGTTAGAACAATATTCGAACGGCACCATAGTAACGTCGGTATCACTTCCGCCCTTGAATTCACCGCTTGACGGTTGCTTTTGCTTATCATTTCCTTTGTCATAATTGGTTCTTTCCCGCATCGGATCGACGCTCAGAACATATATTTGTCGATATTCCTTTTCCGTCTCTTCTGTGCTTTTTTCTTTCGTGGCTTTTTTGTTGATAAGGTTAGATTTAAAGTTGCAGGGAGACCTAATATATTCGTCTCCATCATCAAAATTCTTTCTTTCAAAAGATCCAACATTCTGGCAAGATATTTCTTCTGATCTCGTAATGACATTCTTTTGACAGGCCGACGGATATAATACATCCATAATAGACTTATCACGTCCCATACAGTTATCGCCAAAAGCGGACGACAACGTGGTTGTTTTGCCTTTATTCCCTTCGGGCCGAACGGAATAGCGTTCCACCGAGTTCTATATAAAATATAAATTGTTAAATATTTTCTTTACCAACTTTTGAAATAGTGCAAAAAACTAAGATACCTGAAAGGTGTCACGAAAACTTCTATCAATTTTCTCGACCATGGTTCTTTAAAACTATATAACCAGGAAAAAGCGTATAAACTTGAAAAGTAGAAATTTATTAGTACAACAAATTACAATAAGGCTGAAACATTCACAAGACCTACTTTGTGGGAATATCACCCATATGACAAAGTATAACGTGAAATAGCTGATGGACAAAGATGTAAGACATAATATTGGGTCACACAATCAGAGGAAATCAACTTTAGACAAGGTGATGGGGCGTTTTAAAAATTATTTTTTTTTTTATAATGAAAGTTAGACTCGACGAATGGTTATTCGCGCAGTAAAATCTGATTATCGCTTCGCTGGGGGACCGTATTTGTCACGCCTTTGTAAGAACATCTATTAGAATCTTCTACACTGTTAAGAAATGGATTAGTTGCATAATGGTGACATGACGCGTAACAATTGCAATTGTTACGCGCAAGGTAAAAAAAGCCAATGAAATATTTAAAGAAACTGCAGATTACATTGAGGAAATCTAGTGTGGCACAGTACTAGAAATCCAACATATGTATGCCCAAATTATGTGCAAAACTTATGAAAATTTATTTGCGACGATACAGCAACGAGAAACTACATCACAGCTAAGAATTACTATATAAATTGTCATTCAAAACGGAAACCTTTGCCAATACGTAATTAATATCATCTTGAGATTGCTTGCAAATGTTGTAGCCGTAAAAAGTCTGAATAACTCACTAAAAATATCGTAAATTTTTCCTTTGATTCCCGATTCAGGAATCAGTTCCCTAATGTCCTCGTTAACTAGATGTAAGTTTAGGATGGAATCTTCTGTAGTATTTTATTTATATCGATCTTAAGTGCTTTTCCAAACCGAAAATATTGGAAAATTATTTCTTAAGCCGTTTTCTTACTAAAACCCTCGGCATCGACGATTTCTCTATACAGGTTAGGAAGTTGCGTTGGACAATATCGAAGTGTAATCGGACGATGGCTCCTGTATGAGTCTTTTCAATACAGGGGAGCTTTCCATATTCGAGGATTCCTTGGCTTCTTGCTAGAGGATTTATCCCAGAGTCTGCAAACATTACTAACAAAAATTTAACCAGCTTATCAAATTTACCCGATTCCTTAACGTTTATCAGCCCTGAATCTTTATACTCGAACACTTTGATACAAAGTAGCTCTATTTTCACGTCTTATATAATAAAATAAATCAATCTATTGATAAAATGAAATACTTGCTTCATAATAATTGACGTAACGTTATTGACAAAATGATACGAAAAGTTGTAGAGCAAATGAGTTTTGTATGATCATGTGAAATGATTTACAACCGAGTATAAGTTGTAAAACTACACTACTATTGAGTAAATCGGTCATTAATTGGCCAATTGATTATTCAGTTATTTTTAGCTGCAATTCAAAGAGGCAGACCTTTAATTTTAACTTCATTCACTTAATTTTAACATTTATTGTATTTTTTTACATTGCGAATTTATTTTATTTTATTTCATTTAATTCTGCCATTATATATTCAGGAATACAATGGTAAGATTTATACTTTTTGGCAGCATATTTTGCCAATTTACCAGTTATTCCTTTTTTATATAAATCCATGTAGCGTCATACCTTCTTAGCAAATCTTCTTATTGTAATTATATTAATGGATTTCAAGGCTGCAGGAACAATATATTGCAAGCCTGATCAAAATTAATTACAGTTCTTTCAAGCATATCTTTTTGTTGCATCCCAGTATCATTTAATGTATTCAGTTCACGGGAAAATTTTGGGTAAAAGATACATTTATGCTAAATCTGTGAAAATTGCAAAAAATTATGATTTATATTAATATTAATTATTATATTATATATTATTTTAAATTTAATATTTGCATATGCAAATGCCATTTTAATTTCCTATCCTTGAACATGATAAATAATTGCAACACCTTCTTTACTTGTTGGTGGGTATTCAACTAATTATTATTCCTTGGTGTTATATTAGTCACGGTCAATAATTGTTTAAATTCTTTATATAATTTACATTATTTTTATCCATAGATAATCAACATTTCTTTAAAAAAACACTTGGTTAACGTGAGTTTATAGTTTCGAAAATGTATACTTTGAAAAAATGTATTTTGACACGACATTTATGAAGAATATTTCTTTAAAAAAAAAAGTTTTTAACGTGTTTCGCGTGAGTTAACAAGTGTTTAACACGTTTCAATAAATGATATTTCGACATGAAATTTTTAACTTGAGTTGTACAGATTACAATTGATTTTGATATACACAGACCTATAGCTAAAATTACATGAAACTCATGTGAATAAGCTAAATCACGTAACTATCATGTGAAGATTAACACCTAAAATTTCAGACTAGTGCAGTTTATAGGTGACAGCCACCATAGCAATATTTTTTCTCAATTTTCACTTTATTTTTTTTTTTTTTTTAATAAAAGACCTTTCTTTCTTTTAGATAAGTTATATGATTTTTTTTGATTTTTTTGGTGATGGTTTTTTAGAATTTTACTAATTTTTTTTCTTTTTTTAATAAAAATTGACATTTTTTGCTATTGATTAAAATAAGAAATTCTACAAAAAGGGATGATTATTTTTTGGATATTTACTAAATTTTTTTCTTTTTTAATAGAAGTAGACTTTTTTGCTATTTGTTAAGATAAGATTACAAATAGGAATAGTTGCTTTTTTGATTTTTTCCATTTTTTTTTTACTTTTTTTAATAAGAATTAGTTTTTCTTGCTTAAGATATATTACAAATCAAAACTCTTATAATGGTATTTTTTCAGATTTTACTAATTTTTTTTTATTTTTTTTAATAGAAGTAGACTTTTTTTACTTATTGGCTCAACTAAACTCAAACGGATTGTCAAGCTAACTTATGCAGAGCTTTATTTTTAGATTTGTATATATTATTAATTACTGAAAATATTTGATATTTCATTCAACAATATATACATAAAAGTCTTAATTTTTTAGTATATAAAAACTTTTGTAATTTAAAACAGTTAAACTCTAGAATCAATTATTAAAGAAATTTATTGGTTTTAATACAAATATACATATTTGGATATACTAGTGAAAATAGATACAAATCAGCTAAAAATTAAATATATAATCAATAAATGTTTAATGACTTTTTATGGCTGATTTACATTAATTTTAATTGATATAACATGAATCAATCAGAAATATCAATTAGTCATCAATCACCATCAATTATCTATCTAAAATCTGTCTAAAACTAAATTTGATTATTAATCATCCATCAATTATTCATCAATCATTTGTTTGATTTTTAGCCAAATATTTAATTTGTAAATTACATTTATTTTATTTTAAAATTTCAGAAAATAATATTTTTTTATTAATTTTATTTATTATATTCAAAATGCGACAAAGTAAATAGTAAATACTAAAAAATATCCTAATTTAAAAATAATAAAATAAATAAACAAATTACTAAAAAAAAGAATAAAAAAAATCCCTTTGTAATTGATAAATAGTTATTATTATCTTTATTCAATCACCTTCTAATATAAAACTAAAAAACTAGCAAATAAACAAAAATAAAAATAATTGTTTTTACCACCCTCCTATTTATAAAAAAAAATAACAAAATGCAAAAAAAAGTAAATAGAAAAACTTATAATATTCCATCTGCCTTTTTCAATTTAAAAAATAATAAAAAATAAGCAAAATTAAAAGGCAAAATTATTAAAAAAAATAATAAATTGTCATTATTATTATTGTATCTACTAATTCAAGATGATTGTTACTATTAATCATCATCCATCTTAAGATGATCATCAGAATTATAGTATTTATCATTATCAGCTATTAATGTTTATTTCCTTATAACTTCAACAAGTTCTTCATTATCTGTAACATATTCTTTACCACCTGATTTTTTGACATTAGTACTAAAAAATATATTCAGTTGTTTAATTTGAAATTATTTGAAACGTTTGAAAGGAAGTTAGTCAAAATACTATACCTGATTATATATTTTTAATTTTATTATACTCTTACTAAATTGACTGAGGATAGTTTTTTTAAAAAAATCTTTTTTTTTGTGCATCATTTTAGTTGAGTACACTATGAAGTAAATTTTTAGCTAAAATAATAAAATTGTTTAATAATTTACTAAAATTTATAAATATGATTTTTTAAAAAAAAAATAGTAATCTCAATTGATTGTCACGAAAAAAAAATATTTAGCATTCTATACATTAGGAAAGTTTTTTAGATGTAAAATAATTTCTTATAGAATAATACTTTATAATTTTTGATAATATTACACATAGTAAGTATATCATAGCATTATACAATTGTAAAAATATATATAATATTGTGAAAGTTAACGTAATTTTATCCAATTCAAATTCTAATAATATAGAAAAGCTCATCATTGTCAAAAAAGAATAAATAGATAATTATTAAGCATCATGTCAATAATAACTTGGTATTTAATAACTTAATATCAAAATTAACCACATAAAACTAACTTTTATTGGACAAATAATAACAAATAAAGGATTAATCAAGTCAAATTTGAATTACTAGATTTGATCTGATTGGTCTCTTATTTTAGAATTAGGCGATCCCAATTGATAATGAATAATAACGCATATAGGATATAATAAGGTTTCAATCAGAATAAAGATGACACAGTAATTAAGAAGTTGCAAATCAGTAAATTGTAACTTCTTGTAAATTTATTTTAATATAAAAATTCATAAATAGTTGCAACTAGTTAGAAATTTTAAAAATAATTATAGAATTATCTTTAAATCAAGATATTATAAAGATATCAATAGGATATTCTTATTGATATTAATTTATTAACATCCAGTTTTTAATCAAATTATCCCTAAGTCATTAATAGTGATATTCTTATTTTACCTATTATAAAATAGCATATTCCGATTGGTAATATTTTATCAAATTTTTATATTTATTTTATACAAGTAAGTAATCCCGATTAATTACAATAAAAAGAATTTTATTTTTGATATGATTTATATTAATATAATACTTTAATTATAAGAAAAGTACATACGAAAAGGGTTTTTTGTTTATCTTTTTATTATAGATCAAGCAAATTTTAATTGGTCAATTTATAAAATCTGAAAAAATACGATTACTTATAAAAAAAATTTTTTATATATTTTAATAAATAACCAATATTTTAATAAATATTTACTTAAAAAATTTTTGTTAAGAGACGAAAAAAAGATAAATAGATTTTGGTTATCTTTTTTTTTATATATATATTGTTTTATCATATCACATGATCAAGTTAATTTTGTTAATTTTGATTGGTCGATTTTAAATCCTAAAATTAATATTAAATTAATAAATGTAATATATATATTTTTTTTAACACAAATCACAAAATTTTTATTAAAAATATAAAATGTAAAAAAAAAAGAAGAAAACATCACTAATTTACATATCTAAACGCAAAACTATTTTAAATATAAAAGGAAAAAATTTTTTGACAATTTTTTTTAGTAATTATTACTGGTGTTATTATTATCACTCCTTGTATCACTTTCTACCATTTCATATATTCTTCCTTTTCTTTCTTCTCCTTCTATCTTTGTTCCATCAAAATCATCTTCATCATTATCATCATCTATTTCATCAAAATGTAAAAATTTAGGTTTGCAGCTCTTTACTAAATAATATTAATAAATTTAAATACTTGTATTAAATTTTATGTTAATGCAAGTTTATGAAACTTATCATATTTTGCATAACTTTTTGTTTCAAATATTTTTCAGAAATTTTTATATTTTGGTTAGTAAGATCTAAAAATATCTTACATGTGCTAATTGCAAACATGATTTTATTATTAGGAATATTTTTTTTGCAAAACCATTGATCTGATTCATAATGTATATGATTCTTTACTTTTATCTATAAAGAAATCATTGAAGCATTTACTAATAGCTAAGTTAACCTTCTATTATTAGATTTGTGAAGGTTTTGCATTGGCATTAATTTTGGAAAGGTTGTAATACTCAAAAATGTAATATAATGCATTTTTATTATTAGATACTAATATCTTACAAAAGTTTTAATGTTTATTTACTAGCTAATAAAAAAAAGATTTAATAAAATTAAATTGTAATTATTAATAAAATGATTTAAATCATTTTTTACTTTCTGACTAATTTTTCTCTCATAATGAATAATCCATTTATTCTTTCTATTATATTTTCTAAAATATTTCTCATATTCTTCAAGCAAAAAAACTTTTCAGTTGCTTCTCTATATTCATCTGGAATTAGATATATCACTGTATTTAAGAGAATTTTTGTGATATTTGGAATAATAAGTTAAGTTTAATAATTAGAATAAATTTGCAATACAAATATGTTAGTTTTAAAATTAATTTACATATGAATACATACATTTAAGAATCTTTCTTCTTTATCTTTTTTATTATTTTACTAACATTATCTTGTTATAATAAATTTTTAATCTTTGAAACATAATCTTCAAGAGTTTTTTAACCAGAAATTAATAAATAGAGCTTTATTATAATTTTTATATTTTGACTTATTAATTTTCTAATGATTTTCCTAAACAATCTTTATAAATAATAAAAATAAAATTAATAAATCCTACTTTTAAAATATAAATATTAATTAAATATATGCCATTATCAGTTCTTTTTTTAGAATGCGACATAATTATAAGATAATTAAAAAATATTGATATATAGACAAATTAAAGAAAAGTTGATTTCTTGGGAATAGATTTAGATGATTGTTTAAATGTATTTATATAAAAAATAGCAACTAACAATTATTACTAAGAGAAAAAAATTAATAGCAAATTAATATAAAATACATTAAAATGCAGTAGATTCTGATGTAACAACTGCAATTTTATAATAAATACGATTATCAAAATAGACAGCTGCAATTTTATATTCACAACCATAAAAAACAATTGTCAAATAACCTAAAATTGCAGCTATGATAGCAATTTACATTCATAATAATTAGAATGATTATTAAATAAATCAAAAATGAGGCAGATTCTGATGTAGTAAACAGTCACAATTTTCATTTGTAACAATAAGAATGATCATCAAATAAACTAATAGTAAACAACCATAATTTATATTCACAATCACAAAGAATAATTTTCAAATAGCCTAAAATGTGATAATTCTGCTAGAATGGCAATTTCATTTGTAACAATTAGGATAATCATTAAATAAATCAAAAATGTGGCAGATTCTGATATAGCAAACAGTCACAATTTTATTCATAACAATAAGAACAATTATATATTTACAATCATAAAGAACAATTGTCAAATAAATCAAAAATGCAGTGAATTTTACTATGACGCTTTAAATGTTTTGATAAGTATATAATTTGAGAAAGTATTATTATTGAGATATAAGTTGCAAAAACATGATTGGGATAAAGATAATAGTCATAATATTTAATAGTATATATAATAAAAACATACTTTTGATATTTTTTATAAAAATAATAAAAATAATTTTATTGAGAATCTGATCTTTTTTTATTTAAATTAAATCATTGATACATTATAAGACACTTTAATAAAAATTATTATTCCTTTTGATTATCATACTTATCATATTATTATAATATTTTATTATACTTATCTAGCCTTTGTTAATGATCTTTTAATTCATTAATTACTATTGTGATTTAGTAATGCATTTAAAAGGATTTAATAATATTAAGAAATCATGTGATTTATCAACCAATAGAATTTTAACAAAAATTAGCCAATAACGAAGAAAACCCGATATGCTCTTGTTCAGTAGGAAATGATCTGGACAAAATTACTAAAATAAAAGTGTAGATCTAGTAGTTTTTTTTTTTTGAGATTCATATTCATAAGGGTTGGTTTAGTTGTAGTTCGGAACATTCCAAGTAACACAAATGAATTTACCAATAAGATTAACTCGAAATCTGATCGATCAGAATCTTAATTTTATTAAACATAAAAGCAAAATTCGCACTAAAATGTATATCAGATTAAAAAAAGAAAATAAAGATTTAAATGATATAGAAAGATGCATGATGTAAAGGAAAGATATCTTCAATTATTAATTATCTACAAATTTTTGATAAGAGCTCTTCAATCGAATTTTCAAAAAAATGATTGAGAATTGTAGAACAAATGGAGGGTAAAACTAGCTCCGTCCGAAATAAACATCAAATTTTTTTTATAACAAAAAAAAAGATTACGACTTAAAAAAAATGATCCTCGCTAATCCTCGCTAAATGATGTAAACTTTCTGTTTTTGTTTGTCATCATCTATTTCATGTTGAAGAACAAACTTGTCCAGTTTGAATTACATGCGCGGAATAAATAAGGTCATACGACTTTATCGGCTGTGTATGTTAAAATTTTGATCATTAACAATTTGTCTAAAATCATAACCAGTTTATATTAAAAAATACGCGAATTTTTCTTACAATGATCCAAAATAAAACCATACACGTCCCGTAGTAAGTCACGTGATTAACACGTTTAGAAATGTGGCTTTGAAAAATGTAATGTGGCTTTGAACCTATTTATGGCTTATTTTAACATTAAGAAATATCATTTCTAACAGAAATTATTTATATTATTTAATGAAAGGTCAAATAAAAAGTTTTATACAATATTAATGTTAATTTGTAGGCATTATTTTCACCATTTTGTTAATAATAGTAATAATAATAATAATAATAAAAGAAAAAGAAAAAGAAAATTTAATGATATTTAATCTTTTTCTTATGGCTATTTATAGAAATCGAATTAAACAATTTCATAAAAAAGAAATCTAGAAATATGTCAAACTGATCGATCACATAATGATAATATGCAAAAATATAAACAAATGGACGAAAAGAAAAAAATATATTTCAAGAAGGGAATCAGGTAAATTTAATCAAGTTTCCTTAATTTAATGCATTCTGATTAATCCCGTGTGGCTTTTAGCGAAAGAAAAAAAATATATTCATGGGCTTTGCGGAAATAATCGAGGCTTATTTCAAATAAGGCTTAATTTTCACAATAAACGATCTTTGCTAAACCAAAATGATTGTGGCTTTGAATTCTGGAACGAATAAGGTAAAGCTATCGTTAATTCGATTACGAGGCTTTTGAAATTATAAAAAATTATTTGATTTCCAATTAAAGCAGTGGGCTTAGACTCAAATCAATCGGTTTGTGGTGTATTATATGTAATATTAGTTCGAATAAATCATTATTTTCTTTATTAACGGGTGAGATATGTAGATTTTAAAAACTCAAAGATGTTGAAAATTCTAGCCACGGAAATATTTAAGCTTTTCCATAAACAAAGAGGGATTTAGATGTGGCTTAGTCTGATACACTACAAAAAATTTATTCAATTCGTTGTTTCTGTATATTTTCACAAATTAATTACTTGCAAATATTGTTTTTGATTTATTTTGTTATACAATCTCAATAAAAAAATAAAAAAATACCTCAACCCATTAATGGATTCAAGTTTTTTGGATTAGCTGATGATCGACGTTTCTATTTAAAAAAAAAAGTGTCGCACATTTAGCTATGTAGAATGATTATCTAAAATTATTATTGCGCGAATTTTGTGAAATATTATACGGTAATCGGGAATGAATTAATTTGAACGTTTATATATGATGAATGAAATAGATTTTTTTTACAATTATAAATAGCTTATATCAATTATTCTCTTTTTAATTTCTTTTTTTAAAAAACAAAAAAAAAAATTTAATTTATTAATTTATTATAATGAGATTAAAGAGGATAACATCAATTCTTGGAATTTTAGCAATATTCCCATTAATAACAAATGCGTTACCCTCATTAGATAAACGTCAAGAGTCAGAAAGTGGAGGGGGGGCATACCCAACCTTCAATGATAACCTTTTTGAAGCTTTCCTACCATTAGAACCTACACCTGAACCAATAACGAGATATTATAATTTAACATTATCTCGTGCAGAATTAAAACCGGATGGATTCTCAAGAATTGTTTGGACGTCAAACAATCAATACCCTGGTCCAATGATTCGTGCCAACAAAGGAGATAGAATGGTGATTTATGTAAATAATGACTTGGATGATGGAACCACGATTCATTGGCACGGAATTTTTCAACATGGAACCACCTATTACGATGGTGTCGCAGGACAGGTAATCGAACAATCACATGTTTCACATCTCATCGTTTTCTGTTATTTAAAAATCTTTTTTTGACATTTACATAATTTTTTCGCGTGGCAGACTCAATGCATTATCCCAGATAATAGTGCATTTATTTATAACTTCACCACAGGTGAACAAACCGGAACTTATTGGTGGTAAGTAAAAGATTGCAGAGTTACCTTTGTGATCGACGAAGTTGCGTAAATAAAAAATCAAAACTTTGCTTTTTATAGGCATTCTCATTTTCTTGCTCAATATGTTGACGGGCTTAGGGGTGCGCTAATGTTAGTAAATTTATAAATTTCTTTTGAACATTGTTCGCAAATATATATATATATATTTATTTGGATAAAATTATATTCTAACAAAAACGTTACATCTCGCGTCAAAGTATTCACGATCCAAATGATCCTTTCCTAAAAGATTACGATGAAGAGTTTGTAATGACTCTGTCGGATTGGTATCACAAAACATCAATTGAACTAGTAGCGATGATGGACACACCCGGATATTCAGCCGGAAATGTGAGTTTTTGTGTTACCATTTGAAGAACAATTCTCGATATTTATATTAAATCGGTTCGGAACGCTAATTATCATAACTAGCCCGTCCCCGATTCGGGGCTTATCACCGGTATTGGAAGATTCGATTGCAAAAATGCACCTGCAGGATCAAAATGCGAGCCAAACAATCCACTTGCAGTATATCCAGTCAAACAAGGAAAGCGCTATCGTCTCCGTGTCATCAACACAAGGTAATAAAATCTGAAATGTCTAAATCAAATTTCTCGTGACATTGGTTACATTAAATAAATTTTTAAAAACAGCGCGGAGGTAACTTTCACCTTTTCGATCGACGAACATCCATTGAAGATCATCGAGTGTGAAGGTGAAAACCTCAAGCCGATCACTTTAAATAAAATCAATATCGCTATCGGGCAAAGATATTCTGTGATAATTAACGCGGAAAAAGACATTAAAAATTACTGGATTCGAGCTCAAATCGTACAGGAATGTATACGATGGAATCCTGATGTAAAATTAAATTTAAACGTAACAGGTATATTAAGATATGAAGGAGCTCCCGAAGAGGATCCAACTACGATAGATTGGAATGAAGATACGGTTGAATGTCGAGATGTCGATCATAACCTTTTAAAATTATACGAACCTAGAGCTGTTCCGGATCCTGTTACTGATTCGTTCACTTTCAGAATTGGATTTCATCGCAATGATAGAAATGTTATGAAAGCTTATATAAATAATAGTACTTTTGTCCCTGATATATATGATCCTACCGTTCATAATATCATGGCTGGTGGAAATATGGATGCAAAAGATTTGGAAGCGGATCAAAACGCTTTTATTTACGATACCGAAAATGGTGTTGTTGAAATTGCCTTAATTAGTAAGTCCCTCCCTCACGTTTGAAAAATATAACCCCGTTTTAGCTTTTTGAATTAACGATTATTTAAAATAACTTTAGACGAAAACGGAGCCACACATCCTTTTCATTTGGTAAGTGTATGCATGAACTTTGCGTGAACTTTTGATGATGTTTTGCTTAAATTCAACTTTTTCCTTATCTATATAGCACGGACATAACTTCTTCATCATGGGTCATGGGAATGGAACAGTCCCTGATCGATCTCAATTTAATATGGTAGACCCTGCTGTGCGTGATACCGTATCCATTTTTGAAGATTCGTAAGTATTGTTATTTATTATTTGATTTATTATTTTATATTTGGAATAATAAATAATCATGAAATTTTATCGGGTTTAGATGGACCGTAATTAGATTCAGAATCGATAATCCAGGAGTATGGGCTTTTCATTGTCACATTGAGGTAACTTTTAAGCAACCATCATATCTACCAAGTCACGTTCTGTCTAACGTTCCATTTCTTTAAATGTAGTGGCACGTTGAAATGGGCATGGTAGGACAACTTATCGAAAGGCCCAGTGTACTAAAAACTATGGAAATACCCCCGGATGTTACGGCACTATGCCCAAAAACTACCAAACAAAAAAATGCGGCAAGAAAAAGATATGAAAGATTTTACAAGCGTAATAAATATAATTATGAATTTAAACGTAATAGCCTCAATTAAAGGTTGATGCCTAAAAAAATTCGGCTGGAATGCTTTTTTTTACTTTAGATAGAAACAATTTTAATTGAAAAGGAATAATGATGGATTATTTATTTATTTATTTACTGTAATATAAAGAAAAAAAACAAAAATTTTCACATCGTTCGTATAAGGAAAGTTGACGTTGTCCTTCTTTATTTTATTTTTAGTATTCATTTTCTGTAGCGAAAAAGAATAAAAAATTCGAATGTGCTATTTTATAGAAATTATTTTTTTTTACAAATAAAATAAATGTGGCGAAGCAAATCAAAATCGATTTGGAAATAAAGTTCCGATTTAAATATCGAGTTTCGAGCGTTAAAAAATTCAATAAAAAATTGCACGACACGAATTTTAGAACGCACAATTTTATTAAGATAATTACTACATATTTTAGTACTGATCCATAAAAAAATTAATTTATTATTTATTATAAATAACATTAGAACACACAACAAACTTATTAATTCCTAACATTTATAGCGTTTATTTTAATTATGTTTGTTAGAATAATGATTGATTATTTTCTTTTAATAAAATACAAGATAAAATACAAAAAGAAAATAAGTAAATATAAATATAAATATAATTGAGAAAAAAAAAATAATAATACAATGAAGTTAAATAATAAAAGTAAATATATATATATAAGCTATGTTGCCAAAAAAAACCAAAAATCTACATCTACACCAAAAAACAACTATTATTAATATACCAGATAAAAATTTGTTTTAAAATCATCTAGATTTTAATTTGACTTGCAATAAGCGGGTTGAAAAGAAAAACGGTAAAATCGTAAAGTGAGGATGGTGAAATGATACACGAATAAAACTTAGCAATAAGATGGAAAAACAAAAGAATTAAATATGTAAGTTAAAATAAAATTTTGTGCAAATTATATGTATAAATGCAAAATAAAAATTGTAATTATTTGCGAAAGTAACAAAGTGGAGAAAATTAGGATTGAATTTTGTGAAATTGTAATATAATTTTAGAAAACCATAATTTTTGGTGTGGTGGTTTCGCAAATAAATTTAAAATAGTTAAATAATTTGTTCAACAAATTATTTTTCTCGCATACAAAAACATTATTTATATAATAATTTATCCCAATAGAAATCCCCTATTCTTAATTGCCAATTCTTAATGTCTTTGAAATTTTAGCCTTGCCTTTTCCTTTCCTATCGTTTTCGGCAGGAACGTAATCAGAAGGGAAATAAGGTTGTTGTTGAGGCGAAGAACTTGCGCTAGTAGGGTATTTCAAATATAATTGCTGAGCAGGGGCATCAAAAGGTATACTCATTGGAATTTGAGGAGGCAAATTATTATATAATTGTGATGGTTGTTTAAAGAATTCAGGAGGTAAATTAGATTGAATTGAAGCAGGTAATTCAAAACTTCTCCTTTGAGCATCTATATATGGGTTCATTTTAGGAGATGGAGGGGTTGGAGAATATGAGACAGGATAGCTTCCCATGATAGGAGATGGAGGAGTTGAATACGAAAGTGTATAACCTCCCATGTTAGGTGATGGAGGAGTTGAATATGAAAGTGGATATGGCCCAAAAGTACCAGGTGGATTATATGCGGTCATTTGTGGTGATGGTGGTTGATAAGGCGCAACTTGATTTGATACTTCTTGTTTTTGTTCCTGCGTTGGATGATGAGGCGGAAGCGGAACGGTATAGCCTTCGATAATTTCTGACTCGGTAGGACTACGAGTGTTACCATCATCATTTTTATTACTTTCATATTTTTGTTGATGCTGTTGAAGGTTCTGTTGAGAGATAGGTTGTTGCATCCTTACAGAAGATTGTGTCGTGCTAACGGTAACATTTTCGTATTGTACAACGGTTTCTTCAGTAGTATTATTATTCAGTATTTTCCTTGATGTTTGTATTTTATTTGTGGTGGTTTGAGTAATTATTGGTCCACCGCTAGTATTTATCGTATTCATTAATGGAGAGACCTGTTGTACACCAACTTCCATACCATTATTATAATTTTGTTGTGATTGTTGAGATTGTTGAGGATACTGTTGCTGATACTGTTGAGTGGGCTGTGGTGGATATGGTTGGGTTTGTTGTGGATAGGGTTGAGCTGAGGGTTGTGGATATGGTTGAGCTGAGGGTTGTGGGTATGGTTGAGGTGGTGGTTGCTGTCCATATTGTTGTCGATATTGTTGAGGATATTGCTGGTACTGCTGGGGCTGCTGTGGATATTGAGCTGTTGGGTATTGCGGAGGTGGATATTTCTGTGGGTATCCTATCTGCTGTTGAGGATATGGTTGTTGATATTGTTGAAGTGGATATTGCTGTAATTGCGCATTCTGACGTGGTTGCATCGGGGGTTGACGATTGGGAGGAAGTGATGCGTTCATAATTACAGGACTCTGGTTTGGTAATTTTGCATTCACTGGAACGGGGCTTTGCTGTTTACGAGTATTACGAGTTCCCATTGGACTGGATCTTCCCGCGGTCATTTGACTCATTTGATCGGAAGTCGATGGTGATGGTGGTGGTCTTGTTCCTTGTCGTGCTGGTAAATGCGCATTGGTCATCATTGGGCTTTTGCGTCCCCGAATACCACTCGGCGATTGTCGACCTTGCGTCGGAGGTTGACGGTTAGCAATTTGTGGGCTAACGGGATATGGTGATTCTCTCCCACGTACGCCACTGTATGGACTTTGCTTTCCAGGTATTAATGAACTTGGAGTGGCTGGACTTGGTTTTGGTGATTGACGACCTTGCATCTGAGTTGGACGTCCTGATTGCGGATAAGCCTCCGTTTGATTAGAATTTTCATCATCTTGATCATAATTTTCATTATTTTTGAAATAATCATCCTCATCCACATCACGTGCAATCTGTTGTTTGAGTTGTTGTTGAGAAGATTGCTTTTGAATTTGTGGAAGGAATTGCTGAGAACCCTGCTTTTGAATTTGAGGACGTGGTACTGTACTTTGAAGCTCGTCACGAGATGGCCGTTTTTGAACAGGAGATTCAATGAATTGTTGTTGAGATCTTTGCTTCTGTAACTGTTGACGATACTGGGATTGTACAACCGGTTTTGATTGTTCATTATCTTCCTCTTCATATTGTTGATATTCCGATGTTTGTTCGTCATCACGATATTGATCGTACACATCATCTTGATAATATTGATCAGCTACTTCCGCATCATCTTCATCCTGATTTTGAGCTTCCTGTGGTTGTTGTTGTCTTAGTAGTCTTTCACGTTCTCGTCTTTTACGCTCTTCCTGTTGTTCCATTATAAGCATCTGTTGTTCTTGTTGATATTTTTGAATTTGATAAAGCTTTGATTCTTCCTCCTCTTGTTGTTGCTGAATATATCTATCACGAAATTCTTGACCTTTATCGGCTGGTTGATTGAGTAGTTTGTCCATTTGTTCGTTAGGAGTACCAGGTGGTGGTAAATAAGGTCGTGAAAAACTACTATTATTTGAACGGCTATACTGTTGAAGGGCAGAGGGAGGATGTAAAGCACTTGAAGCATCAGATTTCCTTTTACCGCTACTTTTACTACTTTTAGAACTTTTCACCCAAGGTAAACTGAAATTGCTTAGAGCGCTCATTCGATGAGGATAATTATTTGATAAAGAGAGATTATTTGTGTTATTTAAATTTTGTTCCCATTCTGACATGTATCGATTCCTCTCTTCTATCATAACCCATTCACATTCATGAATTAGACCTCGACGAGGTTCAATAAAAACCCATTCACCCCATTGTTCATCTTGCTCTTCAACATTTGCCTCTATCCAAACGTAAGGGAATAAAGCATCAATCGTTTCAATCGAAAGGTGAGAACTATCAACCATATCAACTGTTTGATCTATTATATGCCAATCTTCCCAATCTTCATAAGTGTGACCATGCATGTAACCCGATGAATCCGAAGCGACTGAAGGTGGACGACGTTTTACACACAAGAAAGAAATTGTTTTACGACGCGTGGTGGGTCTTCGATTCCTCACTTCCTGAGATTCTTCACGTCTCGTATTTTCAAACACTGTTGAACCACCATTACTAGTAGCATTATGAATAATATTACTACTGCTATGATTATCAGTTGCGGCATAGACACCGCCACCGCCACCACCACCACCACCACCATCGGACGAAGGTCCAAGCGTTGAAGATAAGCTAAATATATTTGAACTATTATCTATTGATTCGCGAAATCCTCGATTACGAAAACTATCCCACTTTGGTTCACCACCGATACTATTTTCATCAGGATAATCACTACTACTTGAATCGTTATTCATATCATTAAAATCAGTTGAATTCATTAATGGGTCGCTAACAAATTCTATTTTTGGTAATGGCGGAAGTCCTTCAAATCGATCATTTTTTAGTTGACTTCCGTTTCGCTTCTTTTTTCCATCACTCTTCTTTCTTTTGACCCTAATGGTATTCGGGTTTACATCTCTATCGTCATAAGCAAAGAATAATTTTAGTACTTCTTCGGACATGATCCCTAACCCTTTATTTTGCAATTCGTCCCATTTGGACTCCGCGGTTCTTGGATCATCGATTATAACTATGTTTGACGATTTAAAACTTGCTTTACGTTTCAACGCACTGAGCGAATCTAATAATTCTGGGAATATATCCGCTAAAGAACTTCTATTTGATTTATTTGTATTAATGGTTTTTGTTTTTCTAAGCATACTTGATTGTCTACTAATAGAATTAGATTTTGATTTAATATCATTATTAGTTTCGACGATCTGCTTCCTTGATCTGATAACCTCATCCAAATCAGAAATGGTAATGTCAGGCAAAGAATGCTGACTCGCGATGATTTCTCTACCATCACCACTAACACTACTATTCATTAAACATTTTTTTCTACATTCAACATAATCTTGTAGCAATAAATGCAACCTCTCTGGTAATTGGGTTGAACAAGCTCTTTCTCTCAAATAAGCTAAAAACAAATGAATTAATGCGTGAGAATATTTTAACCATTCTTGATAGGCTGTTAGAAAATTTTCGTAAGTTTTCGTTTTTACTTCGTTAAAAATATGAAGTGACATTGATTTTAAGATGCGTGTTGGATGCATATTATTGAAATGTGATTGTTCCATTGTCATTGCGAATAAATCAAATAATTCCACAAGAATTCCTTTATTCTGTCTTGGAAGATATGAAAGGAATTGATTAAATGATCCCTTTCTCGGGTCATATTGCCATTCTATTATTTTTTTTTAAAAAAAAAAATTTGATATTCGTTAACACAGTTCGTTCCAAATAAATTCAAATCATCTTTTATAGATTCCAATTTATTACTTTACCTTGTTCATATCTGACAAATTCCTCATAACATTCATAAGGTACGATCTTGGAGGTACAATTTTTCATTGTCCATCGCATACCAGCGATAACATTATGTATATTTTGAAATTTTAATTCATCCTCGAATTCGGAACGATTATCTCTCAACAAACAATTAATGAGGTACCTGACCTCATCTGCCCCATCACCGATTCGTATGGGTCTAAAGATATCCGATTCCGTTAATCCTAATAGATGGGAAGAAAAAGGTTAGTTTAAATATCAAAGATCTTACGTGACACAGATCACAAACAACCAAACGACCCCGTGACCAAATCGAACTACAATGCATACCTCTTAAAACAACCTCTCCGGCGCACAAATGAATAATTAGGTAAGCTTCACCCAAAGTTACCAATTGTTCAATGTCCCGTTTTTGTTTTCTTTTTGTGCTCAAACTCATCTTCCTTCTCATACTTCCACTGCTACTACCCCTTTTTAATTTTAAGCTTTCACTTTTCTGCAAATGTTGTAAATGTGGATTGATTGCATGATGATTTGTTGTTAAGGCAGGTTTCCCTCGGAGCATTTTAAAAGGATTTTTTTTTTGTGTTGGTTTTTTTTGAGTTTTTGGGTATGAGAACAAAAATTATTAAACTAACTATTTTTTTTTTTTTTGTGAAAAAAAAAAGTATTACTTAAAAATTATGTACACTCTATTAATGAAATATGTATATATTATTAAATAAACCTGCACTCTAACACTCTTTTTCTATGGACAAAATTTATCTTTCTCTTTTTCGGTTACGGTAAAAAATTTTATGTGAAAAAGGTGTACATATTATTATTACTAAGTTACTTTTTAACTGATTTTCGGTGATTTTTGCTGAATTTATAAAAATAATTAAATTTTTTGAAATTTTTTTGGACTCTATCCAAAAAAACCTATTTAAATAGATGAATAATTTTTTTTTAGAGAAGAGTTCTATTTTTTATTTTTTATAAATTTCTTATTTGCTTTCTTTTCTTTTTCAAAAAAGAAACATTCAAGCGACGAGATGGGAGGTGTAAGTACTGAAAAATTTTTTTTTTTTCGAAGGAAAAAAAAAAAAAATTGGAATAATCCGATGAATTTTTTTTTTCCTAAAAAAAAATGTATCAGTCTATTAAAAAAAAAAGGCCTTCTAAATATTTTTAAATTTATATGTTCATGCAAAATAATCTGCATTCTGATGTTCTTTGACCGAAACATTGTATTACTTTATAAGCGAAGTATTTGTGGTATCTTACAATAAACCACTAATAGGAAATGAAATTTTGGAATGCCGATCGTATTGTTCTAAATTATATATAAAAAAAAAAAAAAAAAGAGATGCTTTCGGAATTATTAACGTTAATGTATAATATAATATTACAAAAAGGTATATATAAAAAAAAAGTCTTTGTTTATATCAACATGTACAATCCGTATTCCGTCAAATAAAAAGAAAATAATTAAGAGCAAAAAAAATCTTTTTTTTAATATACACAGAAAGTTGTTTGTTTGATTATTTTGCTTGTTAGATTTTAATTTATTTATTTTTTTTACACAACAAGAATATTTCTTGATCACATCCATAAAAAATTATTTCAATCAAGGAATTGATAGATTCGTTGATTTATGCAAAGGAATGTTGGTTGTTGCTTGGTATCACGGTGATACCGGTGAACTGCATGAACAAAAAAAAAAAAAAAAAAATAATAATGAATTTTTTTTTCTTTTTAATCAATGAAATATACCAAGAAAAATACTACCATCCTTCCATTCTTTGAAATTATTTACGTACGACATCGTAAAGAGGTAATTGATGGGGAAAGGTAACCTCGTTCAAGTCATGGTTGACATCATTTGAAAAAAAAATATGAATGAATGATAAAAAAAAAAGCGGTGAGGGGGGCTTTGTAAGAAAAAATGTCGAAATGTTGTGATGTGGTGATGTGGTGAAACCAGGCCAGGGAAGATTGCATAGGGTCGAAAAACCTTATTTATTATAAAATGATCGTCACGTGAACACGTTGCTGCGCGCAATGGGGAATGTTTTCTAAATAAATATGAAAGGTTAGTATTGTTTTAAATATGGGAAAACCAGCACAAAACGTTTAGGTTAAAAATAACAAAACAACCGAAATGAATTAGCATATTTTTCGTATTTATTTTATAACCCTTAGTAAGTTAATTGATTTCGGTGATGGACTATCAAACGTTTTAAATAATATAATTATCGTAATGATCTTCGAATTGAATAATTTGATGTTTATTTATAAAGGCAAAGTTAATTTTCTAAATTAATTAATGATTGACTCCAAAAGTATGTGATAAGGAAATTCAAACATTGAGAATTTTAATTTAAATTTATAAATACCACAAAGCACTTCACATAATAACGTATGCAAAATGTAAAATGCATGCGCCAAATATAAATAAAGATTCTATTATAATAAATAGGTTTTTGCTTCTTACTTAAAAAAACAAAATTACACGATAAAACTTTAAAATGGCAACGTAAAACTCGAAATGACAATCTATTAAGATTAAAAATTCTCTTGATGATTAAAAAAAATGAGAGAACGAATGAAGAACGCTGATGATAATTAATTTAAGCACAACGCTACCTAAATAAATAAGAGATTTCTTTGTAATCGTGCGAATCTATTTGCTTTTTTGACTGGCTTTTTATTTTCTTTACCAATTTTTCGGATAAACTATTCCGACAACGTAAGAGATTACATGATTGATTGGTCACATATGGTAATGTATTACTATATAAACATTTTTATGATCATCTTAAAAAGTATATGCGAGATGCTCGCTATGATTAGTCGTTTAAATAGTCTAACTATGATAAAGTAAGTCAAACTAAGTCCATGTGGTGGAAATTTTCAAAATGTCTTAGTCAAAACTTGCGGACTTAACCTTTAAAATACATAATTTATATTGCTGTTTTTATAAACAACAAATAGTAAATTTCCCGATATTAGATCTTTGCAAAAGATTCGCTCGATTTTTTTTTTGGCTGTCGAAATGTATGGGTTGATATTCGTGCGACGGCACTTCACGAACGAACTGAATTCCGTACCGTAGATTCTAGATGGCTTTTTTCTCATTTGCGCTGCGCCATCGCCAATTTTTGATGTTTGATGATTGTCGTTTATTTTGATTGGTACATGACTAATTAACTTTCCTTTTTTCGGATTTGTTTTTAATTAAGCTGTAAATCAATAGATTTAACTGATTTATCATTTCTAAACAAATAATTCGGCAAATAGCAGTAAATAACATGATAACATTACCTTATGTTTATTTTTTATACATCAAATCGTTTGGGTTGGAAATCCGAAACTGTCGGAACGATTAGAATTAATTAATATGCTAAATATGGGCTTCTAAAATCACTGTTGAATCACATGATTTGCCATGTCTTATGACTCAATAAAACGACCTTCGGGGCTGAAATGCATTCGAACTTGGCATTAAATCTAATTATTGTTCATTTTTTTGTGTTCCATTTGCAAAAGGATCCATTGAGAATTTGAAACCTCTTTTTGAGTGTATAATTTTATTTATTATTCAAAAAAATGTAAGACGAGCCTTATCATATGAAAAAATGAAATTAACAACATATCAAGGATAGATTCACGTGATAACCGCATGCTCATGTAATTTATGAAAATTTCTTCAATTAAACAGTAACTGCTGAGTTGTGCATAAATCGTCATAGGACCTGAAACGAAAAAAAAAATGTTTGTTACCTACCTCCTTATCATATCAATATTTAGAAATAGTCACGTGCGCCTGGGACAAATAATTTCGGAGTGATGACCTTATGGAGTTTAAATTGTACCAGATGTCTGGTTGTTGCATTCAAAAAATCTGGCGTGATTTTCAATCATCCTCTAGATTTTTTGTTTATCTCACTAAAATCTCGAAGTTTTTGAAACAAAAATGTTGTGCGAATGTTGAACGGTAATGGTCAAATGGACAAAGAATTACACGATAAGATTTATTGAACGGAATATTTTACGTCAATTATCAAATATACAATATATATATATGTATATATATATTGCGTAGTTGTAACTGTTACTTACCATCTCATCTTTCGGTTACCAAATATTAATTAATTTGTTACATCAAAAGAGCTTGAGACCGACTAGAATTTCTTCTGAGTCACAAGTTTATGAACATACCGTGATACAATTAAAGAACCTTACTTACCAGGAAATAACTTACCGCTTGTAATTCCTTTAATATCCTAATTGAATATTAACATAGTTACAATATAAAAATGAAATGTATAATAAATTTGCCCAATAAAATTCGAATTAAACAAACAATTAAAAATGTTTCGGATAACAATTGTTCCTTTTGTGGTAAACTCATTTATTGAGTAAATGTAGTGTAAATGGAAATCTTGACATTGATAAAAATTTATCTAATTGATGAAATCCTCTTTGATGATGTTAAATATACTTTCCAAATTATAAATTATAAAAAATGAAATTTTATACTTTGTTAGGTAAAAAACATCGTTTATAGAATTATTAAAATGAAATTTTATAAATCTATACTTTGCTTATTAGAATCGTTTCTCAATTGTTTGACATGAAACACAACAATCAATTAAAATTTCAAAATACAATAACAGGCTGAAAAATATGACAATATTTATGCAAACTTTCAGTAAATATTTATAAAATTAATTTTTATTATGTTATATATGTATTAATAGCTTACTGATTATTTTTAATTATATTTAAATCTTATTAAATATAGAGACAATGTTTTTTGTTGGAATGATGAGAACAATAAACTGAAAAAAAAATTGTGGGTAATATTTTAATTCTAATTTAATAGTTATGAATTGGATTAAAAAATCAGAAAAAAACAAATAAAGGAATTAAAAATAAACTATAAAATATAAAATAGAATGGTTTTAAATATTTTTAAACAAATATTTATAAATATATAGTTGATTCACCTTATAATTAATTTAATAATTATATTAATTCAGGTCTTTATAAAAAAATTAAAATTAATATAATAAAAATATAAAGTAAAAGATTTAGCAAAATAGTTATAAATAAAATGCTGATCATTTCTAAAAACTATTTTTAGATTTATTATAAAAAAATTTAAATGGCTAAACAAAAATAAAATAAAATTAATTAAATAAAATATTTATTTTTAATCATTTATTTTATATAATATAAAAAAACAAGTAATACATATTATAGTCAAAAATTTAACAAATACTTTTTTTTTATAATATTGAATTTTTAATTAATATATCTAACTTATTATATATAAAAAGTCAGAATATACTAAATATTATTAAATATTAATATAAAAAATGTAAATTATTTACTAAATATTTTATCAATTAATAATTATTTATAAATTTTAAAAATCTCTTTTCAAAATTAAAACTTTTGATTTATATTAATCTATAATATATAAATTAATTAGTTAAAATTTATATGAAATTTTATAATAAAAAAAACCATTAAAAAAATCAATTTTATTTTATATATTAAATAAGTTAAAATTGG